TGCAACCTTTTCCTCTGCATAGTACTGTACCATATGCACAGGTGGCAATCTGTGTCAGAAAACCTCCTCCTGGGTATGGACGAGCCTCAGTGGACTGGAGTGTAATTTTGTCTCCTATGTGATGCCAAAATTTAACAGTTCTCAAATGTATAAATACAGTGGTAGAAGTTCTTTTGGAGTTCATCAAGCTTTGTAGCTCTTTTAATGTTCTCAGTTTTGAAGCATATGGTAGATGTCATTTTAATCCAGGCAAACCTATTTAATGAGACAACACTTAACCCCACCCCTCTTTATAAGTTTGCATGGTAGACACCTCCAGCATTTCATCTACCACTCTGTATTATTTTGAAATGTCTTTCTGAAATCAAATCAATATTTTCTGTGTTTCAGATGGGAACATCTGCCTATGTGACATTTAAGAAACTACAATGAAACACAAATGCATAAGCAAGTGTAAAGGAAAGCAGGGCGCATGTATGCAATAATCATGAGAATATAGCATCTTAAATGGATCAGGATAAAGCACTGTTTCCTAAATCGTTGTTATATGCAGAACACCCTTTGGATGTATGGGGGTTACTTTATACCTCAGAATATTTCTCTGCTGTCTTGGCTGTCTCATCCTTTCATCTGTCTGGATTGATCTAGAGATCTTTATTGGGGCCCACACAGTATAAATATATCCAGGATGGCTGAGTGTTTCTACCCTGCTGTTGGTGCCTGTAGGCGGGATGATTGTAATGTGCGATTGGATGGAACCAAAGGGGGTGACTTGTTTGAGCTGTCTATATGTTTGGGTTCTCCCACCAGAACCTCAGTTCTGACACAGTCCCTATCTTAGCTTGGAACGTCTTTATTTCTCAATAAATCACTGCCAGCGAGTGTTGTTGAGAGTAACTTTGTCCAAGAGTCTGACAGATGGGCAGTAACCAGACACAGGACTTTTTCTATATTGGCACCTTTCTTTTGGAATGCCCTCCGTGAGGCTTGTCTGGCAGGCAAAAACATCCTTTTACCCAGGCTTTTAAGTAAGGGTTCTGTCTTTTTTAGCTGTTTTGTGGTCTGCTTCTGGTCTGAGGGCTGTTTTATCTACATCATTGTAGGCTGCTCAGTGGGTGCTTTATTCCCTTAGCCTATTTGTAGTCACTTGTTTTATTATGGATTATTCTTGTTGTTCTTGTGATTTTATTGTATTGTATTTACTTTGTTAGCTGCCCTGAACGGGTTTCTGGAGAGATGGCACATTTATTTTATGTTTATTTGTTTATGACAGGTTTTAATTGTATTTTATATGAAATTCTATGTAAGCCGCCCTGAGCCTGCCTCAGTGGAGAGGGCGGAGTATAAACCGAATTAAATAAATAAACACCTTTTTATAAATAAATAATACTTTTAATTTAAAAAAATCAACACCCCAGCCTCTCCATAAGGATATTCTCTTGTTGGGATTAGGGTTAGGATCAACACTGCCAAGAAACAAAATGTTGAATCAGACCATCCATTCCATTGCCATAAAGACTTTTGTCTGATATTTCAGAAGGCAGCATTTCTGTTGTTTAAGGCCCTGGAACTTGTTAGAAGCTTTACTGATATATTCAAGCCCTGTTACTATAAATGGCAATGCTTGAGGTTGACGAAAGTCCTTTCTGACATGCCCTATTCTTATGGCTGGAGTGAGAAAATTCTTTACCACACACAGAATGTGTTATTCGTACATTAAGTAAAATGAGCCCCAACACAAAAATGCTGGAACCACACTGCAACTGCCTAAAAGTATCTCTTCATTTGCCAGGCAAGAAGTGTTGATTACTTGTTCTAAGGAGCTTGATTATCTGTCAGCTCTAGAGATAATAACAGACACTTTGTGCATCGATCTCCTATCACCTGCTTAATTTGTTACTCACTGTTCTTAAATTGTCCAAATCAACATAGCCATTCAGCATAAGCAAATGCCTTGAGTTTTTCTGCTTAATTTGACATATTTTAAAAGAGCATGATGCTCTTCAGACATTTGGAGGAGAACATGAAAGTAGATGTCAACCTGATTCTGTCAAAGCAAATGCTCTTGTCTCCCCACTGACTTTAAAGAACATGTGGACATCTTGTGTTCAGGCAAGTAATTGGCACTTTTAAGAGGTTGTCCTTTATGAGCGAAGTTGACAGCTAATTTGCATGTACTATAGGCACATTC